TGTCATACTTGTAAGTTCTTTACCTTCTCCATTTCCCATACTATTCTTACCCTCCCCCTGTCTATTTTCTACCTACCATCTATGCTATTTATTCTCTGTACCTTTTTCCCTCTCTCTCCTCCTCCCACTCCCCTGTTGATAACCCTCCATGTGATCTCCATTTCTGTGGTTCTGTTCCTGTTCTAGTTGTTTGCTTAGTTTGTTTTGTTTTTGTGTTAGGTGTGGTTGTTAATAATTGTGAGTTTGCTGTCATGAACTTTGTTTTTTAAAGGTACCAACTTCTTAAATTTATGAGAGGTAGATTGTGAGGTACTGCATTTATCTGAATTTCACCTTTAGCTGGCCCTATGGCCTACCTGAGGTCAGCAAGATTTTCATGATCCATTTTTGATCTTGAATTGACAGACTGGAGACAGGTGAATGAACTGTGTCATTCTCCTGGGCCTTGAAGGCAGCTGACCAGTGTTAGTGTGTTACTGCTATGTGAATGTGTTAGGGAAACCTTTCTCAGCACATGAAGATTCGCTGTGACATTTTGACTATATTTTATTGGCTTGTGGGAACTATGCTGTTTTCCTTTGTAAATTACCTTTATCCTTCTCAGTTGAAGCAGAGTTGAAGTGGGTAATGCAGGGAATGCATAAATGGGGCGGCTTTTATCCTATCTGACTTTCTTTAGCAATGTAGGTGGCTCCCAGCATCTGTATTATAAAATATATGAGGTCAAAGAAGGATACTTACCAACCTCTGGAAAAGATGGTCTTCTTGGTAAATACTTATTGAATTATGATAGAGGCAAACATAGAAAACTGTTCAGAATTTGGCCTTTATATGCCTCTTCTTCTGAAAGTAAAATTATTCTCACTGTGAGGGACAGGGTTTTGCAAAGACCAAAGCTTCCCAAAGACTTGAATACATTTTACTGACTCTCTTGTACCAATTCAGTCACTAGTGTGGTACCTGAATACAGATGAAAAGCTTTAGAAGGCCTTAGGTAGTATAGGACTCAGAACTGTTTCCCTATCTCAAGCCAAAAAGTATTTCTAGGGACTGTAGAGAACATCAGGGAATTGTTAGCAGTAGGTAAGATTTATCTAGTTGGGGACATTAGGAAAACGGTCACAGGCATTTATATTTACTTGGCATGTATCACCAAAGACTTTTATATTGAAGACACCATTTGCTGGTTTGATCGATTACCATAGAAGCTCTGAGAGTGGTTAGGAGTTAGCCTCAACCATGGGAATACACACTGGGTTTGAACTCTGGACCTGTATGACGGGGGCGCTGTGTGTATGTGTAAGATTAAAAGTGTTCTGTGTGAATAGTTGGCCTTATGAAGGTGAAGGAAAAGATGTCACTAACAAGTGAAGTATAAATCTTGCTGGGGACTGGGTACCCCTTTTAAAATTTGAATGTTTTTGGACCCAGGTCATGCTCATTGTGCTGGCTCAGAAACTAGGATAGACCCTCATGCAAAACCAAAAAGAAATCAGTTATATTCATGCAGTTATAATTCTTCCTTGACTTTATTCTCTTTGCAATGTTTGGTAGTGAATTTTGATGATTCCTGCCCACTGTGTGAGAGTGTGCATACTTTGGAAATTTGAATTTATTCAAATAGTAAGCCAACTTACAATTTTTGCAGAAGAGTTCGAAACTCAAAGCCCAGTCCAAATGGTCTGGTTTCAGATCTGCTCCCTTGGGGTTTCCTCTGTGCTTGTTCCAGACCACACAGGTAGCCTCGTTGCTGAGGGCTGCCTTAGCCGTTAAGGTATAGAAGGTTGGTGGGTGGTAAATGCACTGAAGATTGATTTTATTGATTCCAATGTTTCAGAAGTCTTACATTTTCACAAGAACCAGCAAAACCAGGAGTGAGGGTTGGGGGAAGGGAGAAGTAGCCCTAAAACTCCCTCCTCTTATGTCTTTTATGACTTAACACAACTTTTGGGTCTATTCTGGTGCTATAGCATATCACAAAGGACTGCTTTAAAAGGGAAACAAGCCACAGCTTTGCAGGACAGGTCTTTAACACCAGCAGTAAAGTATGACCCTGAGCTGTGGGAGGCAAAGGACAATACTTAGTAGTAAAATGAAGCCACCATTTCTGATGGGGGTTCCTGTTCTCAGGATGCAGCAGGTCAGTCCTAAGGACTTCTACGTGGTTTATTCCCTCTAACTGCATGTCTAGCTTGACAGAATGGCAAATGGCATTGAAAGGATGAGGGTAGGCTTTGGGGGCAAATCAGGTCACAAAGCCAGAGATTGAAGGCAGTTAAAAGTTTAGACAAAATTAAAACTGGACAGTTCTTCAGCTCCTTTTGCAAGAACGCTCTAGGGAAGTATAGCTTGAGTGTTTCTCTTGAGGTTTTAAAGCACTCATTTCTTTTCCTTCCTTTCTTGGGTTGAGTATTCTCTAAAGACAATCAGAGGCCTGCCAGGGCAGAACTTCTGGCAGGTTCCAGCACTGTCCTTAGGCCTCTTTCTAATACTAACTCCTTAGAACTGATGCACTTTGTTTAATGTATGTTGTCTTTTTATTATTATTTTTAAGCTGCTTGTTTGGAACAAAATGAAATGCATATTGCATTGTATACTTGCTGTTTTTCTCTTAATTTTACAAGTCATGCATTGAGGATAAAGTATACTTAAGGCGAAATATGCACAAGAATACCTATTGAAAAAACTTCCACCAAGTTTGATGATATTTCAAGGGATTAAAAAATAACTATTTTGGATGAATATTTTGTGTGTGGGATATTGTTTTGTTTTGTAAATAAGAGTGTATATAAATTTGTGGCATATTATGGCAGTTTAAAGTGGTTGTGAGAATATTAAAACAGGTCTTAAGCTATGTTTAACTTCATTTAACAGCAAGAGGGCTTCTTGGCCAGAGTAAATCCTTCAAGAAACTTCCCAGTGGGGCCTCCTAAAGTGATCTCTGAATGGAGGAGAAAGTTCCTTCCTACTTTAATGAAATGAAACTTTTCAGAATTCTGCCCCCTCTCCTGTCTGATTCTTTCCTCTCCAGATTTAGGTAGTTTTTTTAAATTACAGTTTAGAAAAGGTAGGAAGAGCAGAACTTTCCCCACAGCAACTTTGCTCCTGGCATTAGGGACTCTGCTCCTGATCTCTGAAGACTGCTTCTTGTTCCACTACGCTTGCCTTGGTACAGCAGCAACAGGCCTAAGGATTCCTCCACATCTGGGTGTGCAGAGCAATGCTTTGTCAAAAACCTCATTTTTCAGCTGTGCAATTTTCCTTGAGCTGTCTGTGTCTTCAAGCAATCGAGTCTCCTTATGCCAAACCACAGTCTCTTCTGCTTTAAGTACACATCCTCTTGTTTGGTTTTCTCTGAACACGAACTGTAACTGTTGAGCGTCCCCGTAAGAGACCTTCTTAGACTTAAAGACAGTAATGCGAATTTCCCTTACCTATTTATTTTCTTCACCTGATTTTCTGTATTTTCCCATGGTTAATACTTGTGGAGAGTTTTAAATTTTATAAATTAAAATTCAGTTTAATTTAAAAAGCATTTTGTTGCATGTTCTCTGTGCTGGGACTACTTTAGATTCCAGGGTGAATAAAAACCAGTTCCTGCCTTCGGAGTGGGGGGCGGGGGTGTGCGGGTTATACTCAGCGTGACGACTGTTGGACTTAGCAGTCTGAAAAGTTCCAGTGGAGCAGCACACACAAGGTAATTTGGAAGGACAGTGAGGAGAAGGAGGTCAGGCAGGACTTAAAAGCATAAGTAGTGGTTCTTGGAACCAGGAAAAGGTACCAGTGTTCAATGCAGTAAGAATGACACCTAAAGGCACGAAGATGTGAAAAGGTGTTTTTAAGAGCAGTCTGGGGAATTGGCTCTAGGGAACCAGTTGCATTATTGTTCTCTGGATAATGAAATTAATATTCCAGTTAGCCAAGAAAGGTTTTGTATAGCATTTAACTTTCTTATGTAATTGGAATTTCTTGGTGGCTATCTTTTAGGGAAAAATTCCCTAAATAGGGTATTGTCTCACAAATGCAGCCCAGTGTCTACTGGAATAATACTTTGTGTACACTGGCATTAAGTAAATGCAGCAGGAAGGTCAGCAACTCTAGAGCACTAACAAGAGGTGCCTGGAGAGAAGCCAGAGGTTTCTGGGAGGGTAGATGAGGAAATGTGGACTAGAGGCTCTAGTAAAGGTAGAAAGCCCATTCCAACAAGTCAGAAAGGGTTAGGTGGGAGGAAATGTGCATGTGTGGAGGGAGTTGTTGGAGACTGGCAAAAAAACAAGTTGACTTTTTTTTTTTAATGAATCACAAAGATGTATTAACACATTTCCAGAAACATTGTATATTTCATTTGTATTGAAAGTGACCATTTAAATTACATTTAGCTAAGAAAATAAAAGTTGGGAGGAGTGGGGAGAAAATGCAGACAACTATAATTGAACAACAATAAAGTAATTGCAAAGAAAAGTTGGCGAGGGCCTGACCGACTGGAAGCTCTAAGATAAGCCTTTGGTTGGGTTATCGCGGCGCCAAACATCTGGATCGAAAGGCATATGCCTGTGTGCTGAGTTTTGGATTGTTTTTCTCAACAACCAGCTTCGGAATAATCCAGGCGGCTTGCTGAAAATGCAGATTATTAGGCCCTCAGAACTACTGAATTGGAATATGAGGGCGGAATGCCGGAATATTGCTTTAAAAGCTTGCAGGATATAAAGGATTTATCTTGGAGGGAAAACGACTTTAGTCACAGACCTCCCCTGCTTTCCCCCCTACTGATCTGGAGCCCCGGGTCCCAGGGCCCATCCTTCGCTCTCACGTTAACTCAGTTCTCACCTAGTCAGTCCCACCTGTCAATTGATTTACACTCCGACCTCCCCCGGCCGGAGTCCCGGCCGGAGTCCCGCCCTTCGTGGGGAGAGCTGCCCCGGCCAAGGCCCGCCCCCTCCTCTGGCCAAGCCAATCGGGCGCTGCGATCTCAGACGTCGGGTTACGCGCGGCGCTGAGTCGGCCGTGGGGCGGAGGAACCGGCTCCCGGCTGGGACTCCGAGCTCCGGGCTCGGGGCTCGGCGGCACGGCCTCCGCAGGCAGCGAGGCTGTGCGAGCCGAGGTGTCTCCCGCTCCTCCCCCAGCTCCGCCATGCAGGGCCCTGCCGGGAACGCAAGCCACGGACTGCCGGGCGGGCCGCCCTCTACCGTTGCGTCCGGGGCGGGCCGCTGCGAGAGCGGCGCACTCATGCACAGTTTCGGCATCTTCCTGCAGGGGCTGCTCGGCGTCGTGGCCTTCAGCACGTTGATGCGTGAGTCCAGGACCCCCACCCTCCTGAGGCCCTGCACCTCGAGTAGCTGGCCAGGCACCTTCTCAGGCACCCTCCTGCCTGAAGAGTTCAGGCCTGGGGACCCGGGACCCTTGGCGGAGGTGCCTTCGTCCGGCGAACCCAGCCTGGGCATTCCCAGACCAAGGGAGAGCATCCTGAGCCTACAGCTTTATCGATGCTGCCCGTAGCCACAGGTCACCCCTCCTCCTCCCCTACAACCTGTGCGCACCTTGCCTCAGTTACCCGCCTAAAAGTCGCTCTCTTACCACCTTGTCATCGCGAATTAAGGTTACTCCACCTACCCTGAGGCTGTGACCCTGTCTTAGAGGCTTTTCTCAGCCTTCCCTCCATGCTTTGAACTCTCATCCCCAAATCCCTAGTTTGATGTTGAGCTTTTTAATGAGCCGACACTCAGAAGATTTACTATCTCCCGGTCGCATTTACATCCCGCTACTCTACAATACCTGGATTGTTAGCTGTGCATTGCGTTCTCAGTACTACCTCCTCCCCTTCATCTCCTCCTACCCCGGACCCTGTTTCTCAGTTTTATTTTCTCTTTTGGTCGGCGCAGGAATCACCCAGACTCCCCTATTCCGCACATTTCCTCTTTTCCTTCTTCCTGAACGGGCCCACCTGTTCCATTCTGTCCTAGACTTTTCCAATTAAGTCTCAAGCGTCTTAGGCTCTTCCCTTTCTCAGCTCACTCTTATTATTTATATCTCAAATTTCTTTCCTTTCCATGAGACTTGGGCAACCTAGTGGCTTCATGGAGAAGGGGGTGCAGAGGCCCCAGTAGGTCTCGAATCCCTGTACTAAGTCACCAGGAACCCCTCCCCGACAGTTTCCTGTTGGAGAGGAAAGCCCCAGAGGGCCCTTCTGGAAAACTAGAAGTTCCACCCTGCTGTCAGGTGGGCAGAGGGGAGGGTTGTGTGTTTTCTTAGTGTACATCCTTCCCTTTTAAAGTAACAAGGAGCTAGTTTTGGTTGGCTGGTAGGCCTAGGAGTGCCTCTGCGATTGCATTTTGGGGGAAGGAAGGGCATAACTATCTGGACAGAGGCATTAATTCCAGAATGACTTGTTCTCAGAACTTCCCCACTGTGCTCACGTGGACAGAGTGAGGAGTTCCTGCCAGAAAGTACTCACCTCAACACCTGGGCCGGATCCTGCAGCAGTGTGCTTGTGTCTTGTAGGCCCAGATGCTCAAGTAGCAGCTTTGCTTGTTTATAACATAGGGCTTTGGGGGGTGAATTGTCCTAGACTTTTGGTATCCTGAAAAGGCTGCTCTTGAATACTACTTTCTTCTGGTTGCCCGGCCTTGGTAAGTCTTGCAACAAGTGCTCCAGTGTATGTGTTTGCCACTTTTCTTTTTAGTCTCTACTTGCCTGGCTATTTTCCTTGCTGAACAAATAAATACCCACTTGTTCTTGCAGTAGTAATTTGTGACTACGTAGCCAAAATTAGCTGCTGACTTGGGTTCTTGAACTGTGTGTTTTCAAGACATTGTGTATGGGTCTTTACTCCCCTCCCACTCCGCCTTCCTCCATCTGACCTTCCTTTCACTCTAAAGGAACTGCAGATTTAGTTTTTATTTTGTTCTCTAACCTAAGATTTCTTAGCCTAGCTCTGGCTATGTTCATATATTTGATTGATGCTGATGGCCTTACTTACTCCCTAGGGTTTGATGCTTGTGATTCAGAGAGGGAAATGTGATTATGACTGGGTAGAGTTGCTCGCAGCTGAGAAATGTGCCGGGTTGAATGTGTTCAGAGTAATGGTGTTGGCCGTGCGAGTCTTCAGGGACACACTCGCTTCTTTACTTAATATTGTGTGAGCACATATGCAGATCCACTGTGGTTAGTACTTTCTGTATGAGACCAAACTACAAAGTGGTCTCTTGCTCAATGTAAGGCTAGACATGGAGGAAGCTTGTGGAAGTGGGTAGTAGGTCCTGGAACAATAATGAGTGGGAGGGTTGGGGAGAAGAGTTGGAAAGGCTAGGGCTGTGTCTGCCCTGGACACAGAAGTGACGATGAGAGCCAGAGCTTTAGTCCCCCACCCAGCAGACAGCAGACTGGAACCCAGTCAGACAAGTTCCCTTCTTATCTCTTAAACTTGGTTCTGTTGAAATATATCAGTGGTGCTCTTCCATTTTGCACTTGCCTTGCTGACACTGAGAAAAGGAGGAAATCTAAGAGGCTGCTTTATATTTGGAATGGCTTTGCTGGGGAAAAGAAAAGGAGGTGGAGGTGGTCTCAGGGAAGTACGTCTGTGGGCTGTTTGGCCTTGTCTGGGCTTTTAGTCTTCTACTCACAGCGTCGTTTCCTCAGTTGGGCAGAGCTGTCAGGGGCACCGGACTCCCACGACAAGCGTCTGCTCTGGCCACTCTGTCTTTCATCAGTTCCATCGTTATCTTCTTCAAGCATATTTTAAATACCAGTCTTCCCTCCTGAGCAGTTCGAATGAACAATCCCTCTCCTCTGTGGAGTCAGTCTTTTCCCTTCCTGTGCTTTTGTCCCGCAGGCCGGGGCCCAGTGCCTCTCTTCTGACGCTTCCCCCAGTTCTGAGGGCAGGAGCTGTTTTGTTTCCCTGTTGGACCAGCTCTGTTCTGTGGGATGGATCCACTTCTCTGCCACACAGGCTGGGAGGTACTTTTCATCGTTCTCTGTACCAATTTCAGTGACTTCTTAGACCATGGTTTTTATGTTTCTTTTTCTACCCAGAAAAGCCACTTTTTTTTCCTCTATTTACAAGTTGCTATGCTTTTTCATCCTGGAAGATTCTGCCCTGGAGGAAGACTTCTTGTATTATTCACATCTCAAGGGAGGATTTTGATTCTCACAAGAATTTCTCATCCTGGTGTTTGGCTCACCATGCGGGGTTTTCAGATGGTTCAGTCCGGTCAATTGAGAGTCTGGGTGCCAGGTAATGGATGGAGCTGATGCTTCAAGCTCTGTCAACATAGAGACTCTTACAGGCTACTGTCCACAAGCGTGTCCCAGTGTCAGCATCGCCTTTTAAACTGGTAAGCCTTCCAGAAGCTCCAGCTAGGAAAGCTGAATCAACTCGGAGGCAGGCTGATACAGGGACTTCCCACTCTGGGTTTTCTGAGATGTCACTGAATGGCACTGGGTGTCTGAGTAGAAAGAAATGCTTTAAATGAGGAGGCTTTGTCATGATCTGCTTGCTGAGCGGTTCCTCTTGTGTTGGTGGCTTTCTCTGTAGTCTGTGACTCTATGTAGACACTCATGCTGGAGTCCCAGCAGAGCGGAGCTGCGCATTGTGGAACTCAGCAGACTGCTCCAGCGCAGGGTAATGGCCTGCTGTCAGCCAGAGGTCAGTACTGGCCAGGGTGTGTGTTGGCATTTGGGGTGTTTATTCTCACAAGGAGGTTTGAGTTTGCTGTGAATGCACAGCAAACTCAAGCCTCCTTCACTGTGCACAGTCAGAGTTCTGGGCTGAAGTATAGACAGAATTGGTTTCTCACAAAACAAGCCTTTTGAGAGCTTGGATAAATCACGGTGCATTTTTCATGTAACAGACATGGGGATGAGCCAGCTGGGAGAAGGTGTCAGTGATTTACAGAAACACTGCTGGCACTGAGAAATGGTAGCTTTTTTTCTGAGGTCGGAACTAACACCACAAACCAGTCTACCCAGCTTTGAAATCTTAACCTCAGATAATCCCTGGTATCCTGTCCCAGGATGAACCGGCCTCCCTGTACGTTCTGTACGGACACACTCAGGTTGGGACGACTTTTTCCGGGGTTGGCTCTTCCCACTGTATCCCAGTTTTTATTTTTTAAAATGTCAAACATACGGAAAAGATGAACAGTAATAGAGTGATTCAGATATTGTTCACATTTTGTCATATTTACTTTATCTCTTTGTTGTTGTTGATTTTCTGAGCCATCTGAAGGTTAGTTGCAGCCAGCATCACACTGTATCCTAGGAACTTCAGTTGAGCCTCCTAAGAATAAGGACAGTCTTCGACATAACCAACAGCCTTATGATCACACCTCAGAAAACAAGCAACTTCATAGTACCCGCTAATATCCAGTCCATATTCACACTTCTCCAAGTGTCACAAATCACTCCTAGCTGGAGTTTTCAAGAACTATGACCCACTCAGGGTCTTCTCTTTCCTTTTTTTTAAGTCACTTTTACCCTAGAAGACTCTCCCCCTATGCTCACACGTGCGAGGTTCTTTTTTCAATGACATTGCCTTTCTGAAGAGTCCTGGCCAGTTGTCATGCACAGTGTCTCATGTTCTGGAGTTGTCTGGGCGTTTCCTTGTTGCGGTGTTTGAGCTGTTTCGCTGACTCCTGTGTTTCCTGAGTTTGGAGGAGCTATTAGATCGAGATAACCTTTCTGACAGCAAGAACAATCCAAAAATGGTGCTGTGTGCTTCACATTCCGGCACATCAGGAGTCACGTGACATCAGGCAGTCCCGCTGAGGGGCAGGTCCACTGCTGGGTGTGGGGGAGGTCTCTCCATCTCTTCCGTACAAAGGTGCATTGTCCTCTTTGCAGTTAAAATTTATCTTTGTGGTAGTGACACTGAGATCGTGTGAATATCCTGTCGCCCGGTAAATTTTCACTCAGTGACTACCTCCTGGTAAAGGAACGAGACCTGGTGCTGGCTGAATTGGAGCTGGAGCTCGAGCTCACGAGTGAGGGGAGTGTCTCTGGGCTGGATGCCCAACTCGTACGTGTCCTCCTTCCTCTCCTTCCTGAGTAGCAGCCCAGGCAGAGGGAGAATGTTCCTGTTTCTTGTCCCTGGCTGCTATTGACCCCACAGGCGAGGGAGTGTGGCCAGCTTTAGCCTGACAGCTTGTTAGAAGTCTTAATTTTTAGAAACTTTTAAGGTTTTTTAAATGCTGATTTATGTGGTAGTACCTACTCCTTTATTTATAATAAAATGTCATTAATTTGGAATAAAATCAGGGCACAAGAGAGAGTTGTCTGAATTAGTAGACAATCTGA